CAGCGAGGGCCAGGAGGTGGGCGCACGGGGGACGGCGGGCAGAGCTGCCAGGTAGGAGCTGGAGAAGGGCTGGCACCGAGGCTTCGGGCAGCAGGGAAGGGCAGGCGGGGCGCCGCGGTCCGGCCTCCTCACACCCTGACCACCAGCATGCACTGGGCGCCCCAATTCTCCTGCCTCTGGACCCGTCTCCTCTGGTTTTAGGCACCTGTCCCTGGGCCCATGCGCCTTCTATGTTGACCACCGTCTCCATACCACTTCTTGAGCTTAGGTATAGAGTCCGAGGTCTTGATCTTCCTTTCTGCCCAAAAGCCTGCTTGGGCTCCCTAGTACCCAGGCAAGCCAAATTCACCTGCTCTGCCAATGACCACCTCTCTGGGACTTAGAAATATGCTACACTCTGAACACACCTAAACAAACTGTGACCCTGCCCTTTTGGCCAGAGATTAAGTTACTGACTCCACTTCAAATTTGCCCTTGTAGGCTCCACTGTGGTGCCGGGGCCAGAACCTGCAGACCATATTTCTGGGCTCCATGCCAGACTCAGCCCACAGGGAGCCTCTGCAGCTCCACCAGGGTCCATAATACCATCGGTTTTGTTTTAACCATAGGCAACCTGTGCCTGAGAGTCTCTTCCTTCTCAGTGCACACAACTTGCTCTGCCACTTCCCAACTGGCGGACCACACTGTCACACCAGGTAAGCCCCCGCTAACCTGTATCAACCTATCCAAGTGCCTCTCAGCCCCAAGCCCAGCTGTCTACTTCCTCAAAAACAGTCAGGACCACTGCTGTGAGATGGAGGGGGGGATTCGGGGGGGGGGGGAGTGTTTGCGAGCAGAGGCAAGCTGCCCACGCGTAAGTGTTCACACACACACATGCACACACATGCACGCATATATATGGCACTCCAGTCACCTAATTAACGTGGAGAAGAAAGAAGTCTGCCCTCCCAAAGAGCAGGTGAGCTAGAGACCCTAGCACAGAGGCGTTTATTCTGTGCCTGCTGCAAGCGTAAAGAAGCACCAGTGACAGGGACCAGTGGCAGCCACACAGTTCCACTCGAAAGCAGCCCTCCTGGCAAACTGCGACATCCTAGAATGCGCTCTTTCAGCCACCAGCCCATCCAATTCTTAGAAAACCCAAGGGGCCATGGGAAAGCTCCAAGGGGAGAAGCGCGATTTGGAATCAAACAGACAACCCTGGAGGGGAGGGGAGGAGGGGGGTGGTCCAAGAAGTCTACAGCATGGAAATCCGGCTGCATACATACACAGGAGAACAGTGCAGAAGGGAAAGCTTCCTGTAAACTGCATCCAGGACCTTCTACCACACACCTGTGCCCAGGTCGGCTGACCCCTACTCTCTGTGACTTTAAACAAGCCTCTAACCCAACCGGGGCATCAGGACCCCAGCCTGCACCATGCCGTTAACAGACAGACACAAGCCTAAGTGATAGAGGTTAACGGCGTGGCAAGCATTTTTTTGCTGCTCAGCCCAGTGGTACATCCGCCCATCGGGCTATAAGAGCTGGCCGGCTTTGTGAAAACAACACGCTGCTTATGTAACACTTCCATCCAACAGGCTTCCAAACACCTTCTATATACCTGGCTCCGGAGAAAACGGCAGGAGGCAAGACAGACAAGCTCCAGAGCAGTGCAAGGCGAATTTAAGACGACCACCGGTGGTTAACACAGACCGCGCACAAGGGTCCAAGAAGACCAACCCTCACGGGCACCCCGGAGGGCTTCTTAAAGGAAACACCTTGTACTGTACCGGTGAGGAGCCAGCACGGTGGCCACTCTTAAGCCTACAAAGCCTCTAGTCTACTCCAGCTTCCTACTCAAGTTATGGGGAAGTCGGTACTGCAAACAGCCTGGTTT